TTGCAGTTCATTTATAATATATGTACTTTTGTCTTCCCTCAGTCCAGAGCTGGAGTGGGACATGTTTTTATACTGGTAGTTACATGATGCAGAGCAGCCCACCCAAAACTCTAACACTGGCAAGCTGATAATGAACCGAAGCCTTGAGGCAATTGTGGGTAGCACTAGTTACTAAGCAGTGATTGAAGGGCCAAGAGTTTGGCAGAGAGTGTCATAATTTGTTTGTCCATAATACAGTAAAAGCACACAGAAAACAAATCATATTCCATTATCTTAAAAAATCCACCTTAATAAATATTTATTCCTCATTCCCATTTGATTGGCTGGGCTTGTGACCAATCTGTGTAAACCCAGGTCACTCTTGTGGCTGATGTGAGCTTCTTATACATGTTTCTGTTCCACCTTAAATAGTGCATCAGTTATATGCTGAATGCAACTGCTGCAACATTTAAGGTGGAATGGGAAATGAGAATAGGACTGTATCTTTAGCTTTAATCTTTATCCACTGCACAAGATTCAGACTCACAATCAGCAAACTGGGGTTGGGCCACTCGAGGTAGTGGGGGTGCTGGTTTAGCCCCTAAATTACTACAGACTTGGATGTAAAATTTGTGGTTTGTCTGAGCTTTTGTGTTCTTGTATGCATGATTTTGTACATTAGCTCACAGTAACAGGCCCAAAACGCTGCCAGCCCACTGGGAATTCTCCTTATTACCCACTCAGGCATCGACTCTAAGTGTTCAGATACGTGGCGGTAAGGTGGCATCCGTACGGTGAAATGAAATAAGAAAATTATGCTGTTCTCAGGTGTTAAATGAGTGCATCGAGTTGTATGCGGTGTCTGAACCGATGCTATGGTGATGAAAACACTTGAGCGAGAGAGAGCAAAGCCATTGTAAAGTCATTAGCCTGCTGTCTCGACAAATAGATGAAAGAATGAGAGATGTCAGATTAGAACAAGACAGCAGAACGCAGTGTTATATAAGAGCCCAGTCTATTACAGAGCGAATGGAACGTTTATCTGTCCGCATCTAGTGCTGCTCATAGAATTGCTCTTATAATGTCATAATTAAGTCTTTCTGTTCATGTTCTTTTGCACACTCTTAAAAATACAGAGGTCAAGAAGAGTTTTTTGAAGGGGTTGAGCTGAAAATGTGCAGGACAAGGGGAACCTCCAGGACCAGGATTGAGAACCACTTGCCTTAGAAGAACGATTTCTGTAAATGAGATGTACGAGTGTTTAAAGAACCTCCACATAACGTAAAGGTTCCATACTTTCTTTTTTCCACACTGTTTAGGCCGGCCTGGATCACGGTATGGGCCTCTGGGCACAAATGTTTGACAGGCCTACCTTTACATTTACAGCATTTAGCAGATGTTCTTAGCAGATGTGCTGTATAAAGAGACGGTCTTCAGTCTGCGTTTGAAGGCCGCGAGAGACCCTGCTGTTCGGTAAGCCAGTGGGAGTTCGTTCCACCACCTGAGTGCCAGTACAGAGAAAAGTCTTGATGCTTGTCTTCCACGCGTCTTGAAGGATGGCGGGTCAAGCCGAGCTGTACTCGAAGCTTGAAAGGCTCGAGGTACAGCTTGAGTTTTGACCATTGCCATCAGGGAGGGAGGGGCTGGTGCATTTTTGGCTTTGTAGGCATCAGGGTTTTAAATCTGATGCATGCAGCTACGGGAAGCCAGTGAAGGGAGCGCAGCAGTGGAGGGACGTGACTGAACTTAGGAAGACTGAAGACGAGCCGTGCTGCTGCATTCTGGATGAGTTGCAGAGGCTTGATGGCCGCATAGGAAGACCAGCCAAGAACGTTGCATTAGTCAAGCCTTGAGATGACAAGAGACTGAACTAGCACCTGGATGGCCTCTCGAGTAAGAAAGTGTCGGATCCTCCAGATGTTGTACAGGAGAAACCTGCATGACTGAGTTAGGTTCGCGACATGAGCCGAGAACGATAACTGGCCATCCAGAATCACACAAAGACAGGCCCATACCTAGATACCCTATTAGGGTGGTCAGCGATTTTTTATGATTTCACAGTGATATAAAGAGGGCCTATGCAGCACCACAACGACAGCATACTAACTACAACATTAGCACATCACCACTATGAACGCATTTCTTTTTTTCCAATTGAGACAAAATGGGGTTTTCCATTTATATCTTACCTTTGATGACACAGATCACTGCCAGCAAGGATAGATCAACTTTTTAACTCAGATGGTTGACATTTTAAATTTGACTTTTAAAATGAAGACAATGTAATGAAGTCAATGTAAATTAAAATGAGGCAGCTGAAATGTACAAAAAGATGGAAGAAAAGCAGTAAACAAAACCCAAACTGTCAAGCAGCCTAGCTAAAGTATAGTGGCATGGCAGGCATGCAGATATTTGGGGTTTTTGCATTTATGTCTTACCTCTGATGGCTCAGATCACTGCCAGAATGATAGATCAACTTTTCAACTCGGATGGTTGAGATTTTAAATTTGACTTTTGAAATGGGCATCTAGTCTGTGGAGGTTTCAGGTCTTGCTTTTACAGATTGCTCAGGCACATCTTTTGAATACAAGGAGCTTTGTATTCAATGCTAAAAACCTGAAAGCCTGAGCAAGATAATGAACCATAAATTATGCAAGAGATATGAAAGAAAAGTATTAAAATACTGGAAAGGGTTACAAAGCAATTTCGAAAGGAACTGCAGTCGGAGCCAGAGAAAACTTGAAATAGTGTTGGATCTTCGCAGAATAAGTCGGTCTACCAAAATTCATCCAAAACGCAGTGACGACTCACAAACAAACCTAGCTGGACATGTAGGGAACTAAGGGCCTTGCCCACTTCAGATAAGGTCAGCTTTCTTGATTCCACTATTAGAAAGAGACTGGGCAAAAATAACCAGTCATCAGTCAATGATCTGATCTTAAGGGTGTTTGGATAAAGAACAACGATCCAAAGCACAAGTGCAAGTCCACCTCTTGCTTTCTTTCAAGCCACCAACTGCTTAAAAGAAACTAAATGAAGGTCTTGGGGTAGCTGAGTCCTGAGTGGTCAAAGTCCTGACTTGAACCCTATTGAGATGCAGTGGTAGGACCTTAGATGGGCAGTTGATGCTAGAAAGCCCTCCAATGTGACACAACTAAAACAAGTACGCAACGAAGGGGGGCAAAATTCCTACACAGTGGTGTGAAAGACCATCTCCAGTTATAGGAAGCCTTTGGTTGTGGTTGTTGCTGCTGAAGGAGGCGCAACCAGTTATTAGCAAACTGTGTTTTGTGTTTCCTCCTATTCTCCCTGTTTTATATTACATTTTGTAGGGTCTCAAATCATTAAGTCTGATAAATATGCAAAAATAGAGGACATCAGTAACAAGACGGAAATGTGGGCTTCAAAATTGTTCATGTATTTAAGGGGAATTCATGTACATATCATTATTTATGATAAATAAGTACAATAGCACAGGAAGAATGTTGCTATAACAACCAAAAATGGTTGTTTACACACCTGTCTGTCAGTCCATCTGTCTGTTGATCTGTCTGTCTGTCTGTTTTGTTCTTCCTCTCTGTTTCTCTTTCATTTGTGGTTATAAGTGAGGAGAGAGATTGGAAATAGAACCAGTTTGCTTTCACAAAGTTGTTTGTTTTTGAGTTTCATTAAGATTTTCTGACAAAAATATAAATGTCTCGCATTGTTTGATTAGAAAAGATCCATAAAAATAATGATTACCCTCCTCCCTCGCAATGCTTCTGTCTTCAGTACACCGCAAAGGATCTTTATTGCAGGTAATTTGTGTCACAGCCTCTGTTGGTGTCCCTGAGATGATGATGATGATGATGATGATGATAACAGTTGTGATGATTTTCAGAGCATTTCAGATGATTCACTCCACATGAACAAGTATTAGTTGTTTCACAGTACATTTGCCACCATGCAATCAATCGCTCTGTGGAAAATATCCACAGAACACTTGATTACATGGAGGTAAATGTACTGTGAAACAACTAACGCTGGTTCATGTGGAGCACAGATTCCCACAGATAAACATGAAGAAAACTGAGCGAAAAACGCCGTTTTAAAATGTTAACCTGTCAGCAAAATGATTATTTTGTTTCAGTAAACACTGTACTTGCAAAGCACCTAATGGACACTGCTTCTAACAACTCACTCACTCACTCATGTTTAGCACAAGTGAAGATTGTCCACAAGGGGGCACATTACTGCTAAAATAGCTTTTGGTGCTTTGCACCAGTGATACTTTGTGTCCTGTCGATTTTGGTTCGTTCTAAAAAGACATGGTCTTTTTTTACATAAATATTTTCCCTTTCTCTCTCCCTCTCTCTCTCTCTCTCTCACTCTCTCTCTCTCTCATTTTCTCTTCTGTTCCTCCATCTGTGTCCCTTTCTCTCTTTTTATCTCCACTCTTTTACTCCCTTTTCTTTAACACTTTTTCTTTTTTCTTTCTTTCTCTTTTCTCTTTCTCTTTCTTTTTTGTCTCTGTTTCTTTTATCTTTCTCCACTTCTCTGTCTTCTTTCTCTTTTTCAAAAAAAACATATTTTCAATGAAAACCAAATCACAGTCCACATCTACCTCATATATTTCTATTCTTTTTTTTTCTTTTTTCTCCTTTTTTAACATCACTACAACATGTTTTTTTAAACATGTCCTATGTTTTTTAACAGATCTGCAAATTTTGCACCTGCTGACAACCAGAATGGCTGATCTGATCTTTTTCAGGGTTTGAAGCTGATTTTAGTTTTAGTTATACACCAGTGGGCCTTGGGGTGGAAAAGGTTAAGAACCGCTGGTCTATAGTACTTTGATATGGTACTGGGGAAAGAGTGTGTTTAGTGGTCTTGCACATATATAGCTCATAGTTCAGTATTGTATAGAGCATAGTGTGGGGTTGGGGGTGTGAAAACTTTTGTCGTTCTCTGTAACAGTTTCTATTTGCTGTGTACCAAAGGCGTAATCTCACTCCTTCTCTCCACTGTGTCTCTGTGTCCAG